AGCCTCTGGGCGCCGCTGTCGGCCAGTGCAGAGCAAGCTCGACGTCCCAGATCCTTCAGCCTCTAGCCTAGGATTTCCTGCGCAGCCACCAACACTCACAGAAGGAAACCCTCTCACCCTGAGAGACTCTGGGCTGCGCACACCCGGCCCCGAACACAGGGATTCCCGGCCCGAAACCGGGCTCTGCCTGGCCCCGGACTAACGCTCTTCCACCGCGGTCGAGTGCACTTTCTCCAAGTGCGAAGAGGGGACCGAGAAGCCCAGCGAGCAATGGGAGGGAGCTGCGCGCAGAGGCGACGCGCCGGCCGCGGGCAGGTACTGTTTCCCCTCCTGCTGCCTTTGTTCTACCCGGCGCTCTGCGAGCCCATCCGCTACTCCATTCCCGAGGAGCTGACCAAGGGCTCGGTGGTGGGGAACCTCGCCCGGGATCTAGGGCTGAGTGTCCAGGATGTGTCGGCTCGAAAGCTGCGCGTTAGCGCGGAGAAGCTGCACTTCAGCGTAGACGCGGAGAGCGGGGACTTACTGGTGAAGGACCGCGTAGACCGCGAGCAGATATGCAAAGGGAGGAGAAGATGCGAGCTGCAGTTGGAAGCCGTGGTGGAAAATCCCTTAAATATTTTTCATATCGTTGTGGCCATTGAAGATATTAATGACCACGCTCCTCAATTCGATAAAAAGGAAATACATTTAGAAGTTGTTGAATCTGTATCCCCTGGTGCACGAATATCCCTTGACCCTGCCACTGACCCCGACATAAACCTAAACTCAATTAAGGACTATCAGTTAAGCCCCAACCCTTATTTCTCATTAATGGTTAGAGTGAATTCCGATGGTGAAAAGTACCCAGAGTTATCACTGGAGAAACTCTTAGACAGGGAAGAGCAGCGATCTCATCGCTTGATTTTGACTGCCCTGGACGGAGGGGACCCGCCACGAAGTGCTACTGCTCAAATAGAAATCTTTGTAAAGGATATAAATGACAACCCGCCAAAGTTCACCAAAGATGAATATAGAATAAGTCTTAGTGAAAATCTGACCCCGGGATCTTCTGTGTTGCAAGTAACAGCCACTGATGAGGACGAGGGCATCAATGCAGAGATAAACTACTACTTCCGGAGCGCCCTCCAGAGCACAAAGGACGTGTTCTTTTTGGATGAGAAAACAGGTATGATTAAGAATAACCAGTCATTGGATTTTGAAGATGTAGAAAGATACACCATGGTAGTGGAAGCTAAGGACGGAGGTGGTCTCTCTACCCAGTGTAAAGTAATCATAGAAATCCTAGATGAAAATGACAACAGCCCTGAAATAGTCATTACTTCTCTCTCCGATCAGATCTTGGAGGATTCCCCTCCTGGAATGGTTGTTGCCCTCTTCAAAACATGGGACCGGGATTTTGGAGAAAATGGAGAAGTTACTTGTGCTATAGAAAGAGACCTTCCTTTCAAGATCTATTCTTCTTCTAAAAATTACTACAAGATAGTGACAGATGGAGCTCTGGACCGAGAACAGGACCCGGAGTACAATATCACCATCATTGCCACCGACCGAGGAAAGCCACCCCTTTCTACCAGTACCTACATCACTCTGCACCTAACCGACGTCAACGACAATGCACCCGTTTTCCACCAGGCCTCCTACGTAGTCCACGTGGCTGAGAACAACCCTCCTGGGGTCTCCATCGCTCAAGTCAGAGCCTCTGACCCTGACCTGGGACCCAACGGCCAGGTCTCCTACTCCATCGTGGCCAGCGACCTGGAGCCTAGAACGCTGCTGTCCTACGTGTCCGTGAGCGCACAGAGCGGAGTGGTGTTCGCGCAGCGCGCCTT